GCAGATGAGCAGTTTGGATTTCACCATGGGTATTCAACTACTCATCAACTCTTAAGAGTTAAGAATTTAACGAATTAAACAAATCTGAAGGCTGCTCAACTGGAGTTGCTCTTCTAGACATAGAAAAAAACATTCGACAGTGTTTGGAATGAAGGTTTGATTGCTAAATAAATCAAAAAAAAAAAAATCCACTCTATATTATGAAATTAGTTCAAAATTATTTAACTGTCAGAACTCTGCAGGTAAATTATCAAACTTCCAAATCTGAACGACTACCTGTTATAGCAGGAGTTTCTCAGGATAGCGTTCTTGGGCCAATATTGTATAACATTTTCACTTCAGACCTCCCTGATTTGCCTCAGGGTTGTCACAATTCTTTGTTCGCTGATAACACAGGCATTTCCGCTAAACGAAGAAGTCTTCGTACAAGACTAGAGCTTCATTTTTGAAACCTAGTAGTAGTACCATAGTCACTATGAACGGAGTTCCAATTTCTTGGTCAAGTGAAGTGAAATATCTTGGATTAGTACTTGAGCAAAAAGTAACTTTTAAAGATCACATTGAGGGCAGTCAAGCCGAATGTAATAAATATATAAAATTTTTGTATCCTACTATAAACAGGAAATCCAAGCTTTTCCTGACGAATAAACTTCTAATATTTAAACAAGTTTTTAGACCGGCCATGCTTTACGCTGTGCCAATATGGTCTAGTTGTTGCACTACCAGGAAAAAGCACTTCAAAGGATTCAGAACAAAGTTCTGAAGATGATTTTGAAGTTGCCTCCCTAAAGGGTGATACGGTCAAAATTTGGTCAATATCAACTTGACGTATTTCTTTCAATTTTGCATTTAAAAAACCTGAACACCCCTCATTTTGAAGGTGTGTGTGTGTAGAATGTTGCTCCTATTTTGATTTTGGAATTCACTTTTCAGTTGTCAAAATGCCGTCCAAGCAAGAAGAGCAGCGTATCAAAATTTTGCTCGCGCATCGCGAAAATCCGAGCTACTCGCACGCAAAGTTGGCAAAATCGCTAAAAGTTGCCAAATCAACCGTTACAAATGTAATTAAAGTGTTTGGGGAACGTTTGTCGGCAGCCAGGAAGTCTGGATCGGGGGGAAATCGAAAACCGGAAGCCGCTGAGACGACAAAGAGAGTTGCCGGTAGTTTCAAGCGAAACCCTAACCTCTCTCTCCGAGATGCCGCAAATAAGTTGGGTGTATCGTCTACAACCGTGCATCGAGCCAAAAAACGAGCCGGACTATCGACTTACAAGAAGGTAGTGACTCCAAATCGCGATGATAAACAAAATACGACGGCCAAAGCGCGATCCCGGAGGCTGTACACGACGATGCTGACGAAGTTTGACTGCGTGGTAATGGACGACGAAACCTACGTCAAAGCCGACTACAAGCAGCTTCCGGGACAGGAGTTTTATACGGCAAAAGGAAGGGGAAAGGTAGCAGATGTTTTCAAGCACATGAAACTGTCAAAGTTCGCAAAGAAATATCTGGTTTGGCAAGCCATCTGTACCTGTGGCTTGAAAAGCAGCATTTTCATAGCTTCCGGGACTGTCAACCAAGAAATTTACGTGAAAGAGTGTTTGAATAAACGTCTGCTGCCTTTCCTGAGGAAACACGGTTGTTCCGTACTGTTTTGGCCGGATTTGGCATCTTGCCATTACGGTAAAAAGGCCATGGAGTGGTACGCCACTAACAACGTGCAGGTGGTTCCCAAGGACAAGAACCCTCCCAACACGCCAGAGCTCCGCCCAATTGAGAAATACTGGGCTATTTTCAAGCGGAACCTAAAGAAGACCAAAAAACTGCTAAGGGCGAGCAGCAGTTCAAGGCAAACTGGCTTTCTGCGGCGAAGAAGGTGGACAAGGTGGCTGTACAAAATCTGATGGCAGGGGTCAAGCGTAAGGTCCGGCAATTCGGATTTGGAAAAGCGGAAGCCTAACTAAATATTTTTCCTGAATTTTATACTAATTGAACTTGAAAAAGAAATTTAATTTGATTTTTTAAATAAACGATTTCACCGATTTACACGCGTTTTCGATTGACCAAATTTTGACCGTATCACCCTTTAGTACAGTACTACCGAGGTACATAGAATTTCGAATGTTGAGACTTTCGAACAAATGTCCAACAAAATTATTAATAATTTCAGACAAAAATCACTGCAAACCTCAATTGTAACGATTAATTCCCTTTCCCTAATCTAAGTAAGATAAGATTAAGTTTTAGTTTTTAGTTTTAAGATATCAATTGTTATACTACCATGCAGGTATAGAAAACCTGTTTAAAATACTGAATTGCCAAGGCAGGAGCAATGTAAAATCACTTAGATATATTTCATAACAATTAAGGCTGGTAAGTTACTGTAGAAGCTGGAGCACCTAAAGGTTGAACACGAAAACATCTGGATCATTTAAAACACAGCTAAGGCAATTTTTTGAGTATTTTTTTTTCAAAATTTCACTCAAGAGTGTATTGCATCACAGTAGGCATTGAAACGAAAATCCCGGTCTATCCGTTCTTGGCAGTTTTCGATAAATTTCCTGGGCAGGAATTTTATACCTCGGTTGACCGGAACAGTGCCCCGGAAGAATTTAAAATCAAAAATAAGTCGAAATTCTCTAAAAAGTTTCTTGTATGGCAAGCAATCTGCAGTTGTGGGCTGAACAGTGAAACTTTCGTTACTTCTGGGACCATGAACCAGCAAATTTACGAGGTGGAGTGCCTACGGAAGAGACTACTGCCTGAGACTACTGATATGGATTGCCTATTCTGTCTGAAATTGGCAAGCTTGGACGATTTTTTAGTGTTCAACCTTTAGATTAAAAAGAAATGTAATTTAATTTGAATTAGGAGCAAATAAAAAGTAAAAAAAAAGAAATCCAGAAAAGAGAATTAAAGGTGAAACTGCATTCGCAAACATTCTCTAAGTTCGGTAATGTTTAAGTGGAACCCGAAATACAAGAAATTTACTCGCATGCTTTACTGTTATGAACCAACTAATGTTTGTAAGTTGAACCAACTAATCGTTTGTTAGTTCTTTTTTTGCTGATTGGAGGCCTTGGGACATAATTTAACTTTCAATATATCGTTGTTTAAAACTGGTCCGTACATCTACAAGAGAAAAAATAACACATAAACTGATATCTAAATCCACTTTTCAACACCATAAACACTGACTCAAAAGCACTTGTATCCACTGATCATTGATAACCACTTAATGCTCACAAACTCATCAACAATTGCCAAAAAGTACTTTCCTCCCTGTCGTCGTCCGTCGTCCATCGCCATCGTCCTCATATAAGCCTCTTTAGGCGGCTAATGAGAAGAAGCCCAATCATAACGATTGCACATCACTTGACTTGCCACCACCAGTTAATAGCCCGAAAGTGAGTGCTAGGCGAGAGAGTGCAACGTGTCTCTATCGACCTATAAGGAGCCACTTAGAGGGGGCTGCAACCTAGCTGTCAGTGCTGTTGTTGAAATGAATTATTGCAAGCTCATTTATTGAAATTGCAGCAGTCAGCCAACAGCATGTGCGTGTGTGTGAGAGAGTGTATTATGATGGCTATGATGCAAAGAGAAATAAGAGTGGTGCAACTTTTGTGTTGATCATATCGTGCGCGCGCTCGCTCGCTCGCTTGGCAATAGACCGGTGTAATTACAACGATGATGTGTGACACAAGCGACCGCGTCGCTCGAAGTTTCTTTGCGACCGCCTACCCCCAATAAAGTAAACAAGGAAGCGCTTTTCGCATTTTCGGGCCAACCAGTCAAGATTAGTCCGGTTTCGAAACCTTCGTAATCTCGTTTTACGTGCTCCAATTAGTTCTGCTTGAAGGTCCACTTTTGGAACCGCGCGCTTTCAAACGTAGGCGCGCGCTTACGAAACTGTTGCAGTACAATCATGTTGCGCCACCTAAGACGATTGATCAATAGAGAGCGTATGGTTTAAATGTGGCAATTTTCTTCAATGCTGGCGCCACTTGGCTGGCTCTGTTGTCACGATGACGTTCGGGTTTTTCAACTTTTTTTTTTGCGTAACTTTCACCGCTTGATCTTTCAATGGAAATTATGCAATTTTCACTTTTTTTTTCGATCTGCAGACTTGCTAATGGATTTTCGTTTCGATATCAGCACGAACGTAATCAGAGGACTCATTATACAAAAAAAAAATAAAAACTATTAATGGGTGTTTTTTTTTATCACAATTTTTTATTTCAATTTTTTTGGTTCGTTTTTTTCTTGAATATCTCGCTTGTTTTTATGTAAAAAAAATATAAACAGAACAATTCTCGCAAAAAAGAGTATAGTACACTAGATGAGTGGGGGTGAGGCATGATAACATTTTTGGGCAACATTCCCCGCTAGTAAATTTTTTTCTCGGGAAAACACAAAAAAAGTTTTTAAGGCAACAAAAAAAAAAATTAGGCAGCTCTTGTTTTTTTCCTCTTTGCGCTGGTGTCTTCATCGGTCTTCTTTTCTTGGGGTTAATATATGTACAACAACAATTGTAACAGTTATGTCTTAAATTTTTGTCTCTCTCTTTTCTTCTTTTCTTGGCTTGTTTCACTTATTAAAAATCTATGCAACAACAAAAAAAAAACTGGACTTTTGGTAACTGAGCATTGCAATTATCTGTTTTTTTCTTCTTTTGACTGACTGCGCCTTTGTGTTCTAGTTTAAGGAATTTGATTTATGGAAATTTTCTGGTTCGAACCGAGCCCAGTAGGATGGACGGAAGCACCATGGTTTGAGGTTGGTTGTCTGGCTCGGTTCGAAAAACTAAAATTTCTTACAATCTGAGTGCTGTAGGTTGCGTGCGATCCGCTTTTGGTAACGCCTCCTAATGACGTGTGCTTGACAGGAAGGCAGATGGACCTGTGGAGTTGTTGAGTAGGATCCCCATCGCTGTGGCGAGTAACAGTTCGTTAGCTGCTGGAAGTCTTACCTTGGGGGGGCAGGTCCTCGCTTCAACTGGTATTCGCTCGGTGACAAAAAAAGGGGCACTTCGAGCGGATCGCACGATGCTCATTAAGTGGTGGTCTTCTTGTAGAATGTAGTTTGATCAGTTTCTACATCATCAGTTTCTCAGGCTCTTAGTTGGTAGTAAGGTGTTGGTTTCGCATTTCGCTATTCTTGTTAGTAGTTTTGGGTGTTAGTCGTTTAGAAACTAAGATCACAAGTTTTGCGATATAAATAATGAAATGATGGGGGCTCTTCTTGACTTAGTGATGCTCATGGAATTCGTGATGACCTTCAGACGAACCGAAGTTGTGCTCCTCGTGTTGTTGGTGTTCTTCGTGGTGGACTGGAACATGGACTGGGACCTGGACATGGTATGGGACTGGCTTCTCAACGGTGTACGGCACGTGCTTCTCGATTTCGTATGGGACTGGGCGCTCGACTGGGACCTTGACTGGGTATGGGACTTGCTTCTCTACCGGGTATGGGACTTGCTTCTCAACTGGGTAAGGTTGTGGCACAGGGACCTTGACTGGGACTGGAACTGGCTTATCAACGTGCACGGGTACTGGACGGTCGACTGGGACATGGACTGGGTATGGGACATTCTTGATGACAGTGTATGGGACAGGCTTCTCAACTGGGACTGGCACTGGCTTGTCAACATGAACTGCGACTGGACGGTCAACTGGAACATGGACTGGGTAGTGCACAATCTTCTCAACTGGGTATGGCTTATCGACATGGACTGGAACCTTGACCGGGACATAGACCTTCTTCTCCACTGGGTACGGTGCTGGGACATGGACCTTGACTGGGTAATGGACCTTCTTCTCTACTGGGTATGGGGCTGGCACGTATACCTTGACTGGGACTGGACGGTCAACAGGGACATGGACTGGGTATGGGACCTTCTTTTCAACGGGATAAGGAGCTGGCACATTGTATGGCACCTTGACGATCTCCTTCACCGGGTAGTGAACGGTCTTGTACACTGGATAAGGCTTTGGCACTCCAACCTTGACGGGCACGGGGACGTGTTTCTCCACGGCCACTGGGATGTGCTTCTCCACTGGGTATGGGACCGGAATCTTCTTCACCACAGTCAAGGTCTTCTCCTCGTGGGTCTCGAAGTGCGGGATGTCATGCTTTTCCTCCCAGCCGCCGAAGCTGTGGGTCCAGTCCTGCAGGCCTCGTTTGTCCTGCTTCTTGTCCTCGAGGTTTGCACTTTCGGCCGCCTTGGTGTCATCTACCTTAGCTTCAGCCACTGGTTTCTTTTCATCTTCGGCGGATGCAAGAAGCACCAAGGCAAAAAGACAGACAACTCCCTGCGGTTGGCGCGGCGGGGGTGAGAAAGAGGAAAACAGTGGATTAGTATTTGTGACGGTTGTTTGGGGGAGGGGGGGGGGAGTGGATTTGAGTTTGGATCTGTGGTTCGGTATTAGAATAAGTTCGACCTGCTTGTCGTTGGGTGGTGTGCTGGATCTTGTCACTTTCTTATACTACTTGTTTCATCACATGTTCATCTAGTTGATGTGTGGAGCTGAAAATGCTGCAGATTATTTCTAGATGATGAAATTTGTGCATCAGAACACGTGATAAATGAGGCTTCGCTGGACTTAACCTTTAAGTAAATCGTATAATCATTGCAAGTTTATTAAAGGTAGTCGTTCTACTTGTTCTACATCATTTAATATGGAAGTTGACATGATGCACATCATAATAATGTAAATTTACATGGCCGACATGTAAACTTACATGACAAGTTTGTAAATTTGCATGCTTGAAGCAGTTACATACCTTAAGCTGTAAAATTAGATGAAACATGTCTTTACATGCTCAATTTTTTATCGTTTGTAAAAGATTACGTAGCACGTAATTTTTATTAGTTTTTACTATGTAGGGCTCATTGGTAAGAATTACTTTCACTGGTAAAATTTACTATGGAAATAAATGTCAAATATAGCTACATTAGGGTATACTAAATGAAATCAAATTGGGGTTTGTATTTATGGGAAAATTGCAGTCAAATTTCCATGCACTCAATTGATATTAACCCAATTATCATTCAAATTCAACCTAGTCTAGAAGCAACTTTAGAATATACCAAAGTTTGACATGTTTTTTTTTTCAAATCTGAGGGCTTGGCTTTACATTAGATCAATATTAAAATTGGCATAAGTAGCATTATTTATAAGTCTGTTGAAATAGTATAAGAAGCTCACATATATTTTTCACTGGGAATTAAATAATCTCCAATTAAATCAGGCTTACGAATCTTCATGCATCTCGGAAAAAAACTGAATAGAATCGAGCTTATTTGAATGGAGATTTGTAGAATTTAAATCGCCGCGTAAAATCACGTTCATGCAATTTTGAGCCAATTTTGACGTAAACATCACCACGGTTAACAACTTTTCTTGTAAGAAGCATACAGTATTATCAATATATTTTGGATTTCACGTTAATTTACACGAATTATAGGGTAAATATCCACAAAATCTGGCACCAACAACAGGTGCGCCTTAATCGTTGAAATTTTCGTGATCTTTTGAAATGGCATATACAATCCATACAGAACTAGCAGAATCAAATCCATTTATTACAAGCAACACGGTGATGTAAATTTACACAGCTATGTAAATATTCCCATAACCGGCAATCAAATTTTAATAAATTTATCAAAATGTGAGGACTCTTCGACAATCTCGCCATCTACCGCTCAAGGGAGGAAGCTCGGAGCAAATTTTCTGAGATTTGTTGCAGTTTAACATTGGTTTTTACAACCTCAATGCTGAGATTGTTAGGATCAGTCAAACAACGCGGTAGATCCTTCAATCGGGTTGCTAGTGTGGATCACTATAAATATGTTACCTGATTAAAATCTGAAATAGCTTATTGTAGCTGAATAAGCTACAATACCGCTCTTAATATCTAGGTAGGATCTTCGAAGCAGAAGCAGCCATGCGTCTGAGACTGATCTAAAGCGAGAATTGAAGGTGTTTGCAAGATTGTGTTTGGATTTACATGATCAGTAATTGTGTTACATATTGCGCATTTTTCACCAAACGAGCGAATTAAATTCTGATCGATGATTTTATTTTTTATGTTCTGTGTAATTTTACATAATTATTTATGTAAATCTACACCAGACAGCCACCAAAGCAGCATTACAGGTTTTATCGAGGTTTATAGCATTCTACAAGTGTCAGAACCGTCGTAAAACCAAAATTGTAACCTGGACAGTTTGTGCGCTTATTTTGGGGTGTTTTTGTTTTGTTTTTTCTGCATCAATTATGTTTAGACTCTTCAATAATCGGTCATAATTTTAGCTGCACTGAGAGATTTGTAGGCCAGTTGCAAATTCATCAATTACTATTCACTTTTCCGTGTGTTGAATACTTTCCAAGCTGCTAATCAAACAGATGGTGGTATATTATTTACTTTTGGCTGAATGAGCTTCTATTCAGCTTTTAATGTTTCCGCGTAGGATCTTAAGTAGATTTAGGAACAGCAGAGCAGCTAAGACTGATCTAATGAGTAAGTTGAAAGCAACTCCTAAATTTATTAATTTGTATACCACTCCTCATGAAATATTGGATGCAAGTCGAAGTCCAGAATAAACCTTTTTTGGAAACGTTTTTTAAGCTTATGAGTTTCCAAGCTTCAATCGGTAGAACAACTAACACAATTGTGAAGCTTTCATAAAATTTGGCTGCAAGTTGAAATGATAGATGATGTAAGTTTTTACAAGATCAGTGGTAATTCTCCAATCAGGCTGTTGTTGACATGATCTGCCTTAAAATCGTTTTACCTGGTTAAAAGCTGAACAAGCTTCTTTTAGCTGATTAAGCTAATATTCAGTATTCAATGTTTGACGCGTACGATCTTAGAATCCGAAACAGCAGAGCAGCTGAGACTGCTGATAAATGCGAATTGTATGTAACTTTTCATTCAATATTGCAATCATGTTTATGACCAGAATAAGTTTTCTGTAAAACATAAATAAACTAATTTACTTAAAGCTTCCCATCAAACATTGATGGCTGAATAACGACTTATTAAGGCAAAAATGAGCTTATCGAGTTTAAGAGAAGCTTATTCAGCTTTTATTCAGCTTTTATTCAGCTAATAATGTTTTTTCCTATTATATGTTGCACTACACAAGTTAATGTTAAGTGTAGCATTGAAAAAAAGCTCAGCTAACTTGAAGTTAATGAACCATCAACATTTAAGCAACCCAATGGGTTGCATCAAACATTTCATCAAACATTGCAACCAATTGCAACCAATTTACTAATTTTCACACGATGAATGATGTGCACTTATGGCAATTGAAATCGCACTGAAGATTCCAAAAGTGTTGCTGCAACTGATATGTAACAAATAGTGGTTGCTGAACAGTTGTATCGACTGCATTGGGACACGTTCGCTGTTTTTGTTCGTAAATCTAGCTTTCCGCTAAAAGTCTGATTTCAAATTAAAATCATGAAAAATTGCTTCTTGTCGATTTTCGTCGAGATTTGACGCCTTGGGAAGTTTGTAGTTCAGATCACAATTTGAAAGTTTAGTAACCAATGCTGAACCGCGCACAGTTCTTTGGAGAAGACTTGATGCACTTTAGCCATGAATCGTCACTATGGTCGTTCCAGTTGCATAAACCGTTTCGTATTCCATTGGATAGACTGTGGGCATCCTACTGCATCCAGCGGAGCTTGAAGCCACCAACCCCGAAATAGCACTTCCTTCAGCCGGGGAGTTTTGGTTTTCATCGTCGTTGTTAATCATTCATCAATTCGATTCGCTACGGTGCGCATTGATCGTTTCGAAAACTAAAAACCACATCCGGAAAATCCGAAATGAAATCTCATCACCCGTTGTCCACAAGCGATTGCGCGTCTCGCCAGGTAGTTTGCGTTCGTGTGTTTTCCCCCCGCATACATTCACTTTTCCCATTTATTTTGTTTTCATTTAAATACTTTTCACCACGGTGAATGACCAGCACTAAATTTTCCATTCGGTTGGAGAAATGGAAACTCCTGCACGCTCTCTCTCCCTTTTTCTATGACGGTCGGTTGAAAATGGTAAAAACCACAAAAAACTCGTTTTGTGTAACGTCTCTTGCACCAGTGCACTAAACTGTTCATTTAGGTCGTGCCCAAATCAAAACATCACTTTCAGTTCCAGCGAACGTCCTCTTTATTTCCACCAAAGTCCTTTTGCACACTTCCAGAACACCAACCGCACCAAAGCCGGGCAGCGGCTTGTTCTAACTCTCGAACCAGATCCTCCCCACAAATCGAACAACACTCTCTGTTTTCAAGAAACCGGGTCCGTTGCTGCTGCTTACCAACAATTTCATATTTAATCCGAGTGAAATGAAACTGTGAAACAAGCAAATAGGTACTGATGGTGAGTCTGCCGATGGCTGGAGCTTTTATACCGACAGCCGCTTTCTTGGGGCCCCCTTGGGTCTCTCTTCGGCATTGGCTTAGGCTTTGGATTTTCGCCTCCCCTCCCTCCCCGTTCCTGCCGAATGGGGCTCCGATCGCGAAACCGTCTTCACTGTTGCAGTGCTGCTGATTTGGGCTCGAAAAAGAGTCGCGACGCCACCGCGCCGCGGGAGACGGGGGCTGGGCTGTTGGGTGACGAAGATTTTCCTCGCGATGTGTGTAATCGGTGCCATGTGTAACAGCAGATTTTCTTTGCTCTTGAGTATGAACCACACAATTTCACCTTTGGCCGTTTGTTTGTTGCTGGTGTTGCTCTGGTTGATTTATGCCACTGCAAGTCAGTCGCTGTGAACCTTCGATTCGAACCGGACCGGCTGCTTATCTGCAGGTCGAGATTGGCAGATCGAACTTTTTTTTTCGCCTATTGCATTGTTGCATGACGACCAGGTCCCGGTTGTTGGATTTTCAGCCTGTTTCGGAGTTTCGTTCAACTTTGGTGCAGTTTTGCGATTATAAATTCTATTGTTTTCATTAGTAATGCTCCCGTGAGTTTTCCATTGGTCGAGCCTGTGCCGTGTGCCGTCTTTCTCCGCCACGCGAAAGTCAGCTGATCGTGGATCGGGGAAAATTCGCATTTCGCAATCAACGGCACTGTCGGAGCCGGTGCATGGTGTGTTCGATTTGGGAAGATTTTGTTTTTTTTTGCGGACTAGTGGAATCGGTTGCAGTTAATTAAGTGGAGTTTCATTGAACTAAGGCTTGGATAATGGACTTCGCTGCTGATAGTTTCCCTTGATCTTCGGAGCCAAATCTTTATTGGTTAGCACGATGCAGGTTTCTCTCTGCCGAAAACTTCATGATAGCCCCATTGAACTCTAAACAAACGATTACACTTGTTGATGTGATACCGTAAAATACTGAATACTGGACATTTTTTTTCGTCGATCTTGTTTTCCGTTCTGAGTACGCTACGCTACCGACACCAGAGAGGCAGCTCCCACACCTGGACCCTACTTATCTACCCATCAACTCATGAACCGGGAACCAACGGCTTTACTTCCCTGATAAGAGATGTTATGCCTCAGAAAATCCCGGCAGCGCCGACCGGGATTGAACCCAGACCCTTTGGGGTGAGAGGCAGTCAATACCGGACAGTTATTTTTAATTAAATATTACATATACTTGGGAACATAATGATCACGTAAGATGATCATGGACGACAGTACATAAAATGTATGTACAGGTGGATTATATTTGGTCTTGATAATCAACTTTTAAAAGTGTCCGGATCAATGGACTAAATGTCCAGATTTTAGTGCCTTACGGTATCATGGATTGTTTCAATAGTTCTATAATTCACATCACGAAAGTAGATTAGAAGCACAATCAGCGATTGTCATCAAGCTATTGAAAGCTTGTGTACAGGGTGATTCAGAATAACTATCACCGATTTCACAAATTTGCAATTCTCCATGTGTTAAAGTGTTTTTGTTTTTAAGTGTGTACAAATATCAGCTTGTATGACGCATTTGAAATTTCTTTCGCTTTTTATTTCAAGCAGCCATAGACGTGAAAATGGAGCATGTCATAAATCTGTATAACTTAGTGTGCTAAACATTTAAACATTTATTTTTCGTATCATTATAGAGGTAAAAAAGAACCATGTTTTGAAAATCTGTTCAACTAAACTTGGCTGAGCGTTGCTACACGTTAGTTGTACAGCACCGCATGCAACGGAGAGGAATTTGGTAATTTTCACTTAATTTACGTTACAGCACCACTTCTGTACTAACAAACACATTTTTAAAACGAAATTGTTAAAAATATACATTAATATTTTCACAAGCATGAAAAAACCATAGGATCAATTCCTAAGTTACTTGAAAATTATTTGCAAACATGGTAGCCACCCTCCAATTTGATTCTATCTTAAATCCAAATACAAGCCTGTGGAAAAATGGTGAAAATTGATGAAGGTTTCAGGGTCTCACAAAATCGTTTAAAGTTTGTGTGAAGATTACTATGGGAGATTTCAAAATGTATATAAGTTATATCTCTCTACCGGCTCTAGTATTTCAAGTAAAATATTGAATATGTGACTGCTATAAAAATAGTCAACAAGCCTATTTTTTTTATGATGACCGTAAATTTACCCTATTTGTCTTTTTTGATCACATTTATCGAGCAACATTAATGATAGAACGCCAAAGTAAACTAACTACACCATCTGAAGGAGAAAATTAATACGCGAAAAACATACGTTTAATGGCTTTTGGCACATTGGCCCTTTTCACGTGTTTCTCTAGATTTCTAACTCAAACAAACAAATTAAGAAGGTATAGCATTCACAATAATTAGGGTGAAGTATATTACTTGATTGTCATGGAAGGTGCTCGGTGGCCTAGCAGAAACCATTTTGGCGTATTGAGCAGAAGATCGTGGTTTAAATCCCAGGCACTTTCTTATTATAACAATTGGTTTTGTTAGCATGGAATGTAGATATCGTCTGGATCCAGTGTTGGATTTAGGATCCGGGGGCCCGCGACAGCTTTACTTAGGGGGCCTCCCATATTATCTGCTTTCGAAGTTTGAATTTCAAGTGTGCGATTGTAATTTTCCTCCTACCATCTTGATAAGAAAAATAAAACAATAGAAATCAAACAAAGGTTTGGCATCTATATTCTACAACAAAAAAAAAAAAAAATAAAAAAATTAGCAACTGTGATCCGGGACAAATCGATCACCGGGATATAATTGGTTGATTGGTGATAGATATCAAGATAAATATCAATAGCATTTTATTACGTGACTCCAATGGTAGCTTTAACGAGTTTCTCTAGAAAAGTAAACTTTTCTATATGCGTTTCAGTTTTATTTAATTGAAGGTCAATAGCATACAATATCAGTTTTCAAACATACGAATCAAAGTGTTGGAACGATTGTTGTCTTTAACATGAAAGTAACATATTTCATTAAACTAAGTGACAATCAATCTATTCTTTTAATATAGTATAATCACAGATGCACATACATACACAGCTCGAAAAAGTAGTGTAAATTTGTGTTCAATATGATCACTAGCGTGCACAGGAATCTTGCTAAGGAGGGGCAATTTTTTTTTTCTATGGTGCATTTTATCGGGGGATGGGGAGTACTCCAAAGTGCGCGGGAGATGGTGCTGTCCACCCACCACTGTTTCGCTACTGTTTAACTTAGCTAATTTAATTTATTTTGTTGCTCCGGTGGTGGTTCATCTTATTCAATGCAAACTACGGAAATTGGCAATTTAATCGCATCGGCGATGATGAACCGTCCCAAAGTACCGTCAGTCGGGGTGACAGAAAATGATGGCGAACATTCAACATGTTTTAAAGATGATATAAAAGACAAACCCGAATTTATTGCAACGCACATAAACAGCTGTAACTTTTTAACCACAGTAACAAATGACTTGAAATTTTCAGAGAAGATTCTTAGGCGATTTTTTAGTAAGACATTAATAGACCAAGGTTCAATGGCAAACTAATACCCACTTTTCGATTAGAGAATCCAAAAGCTGTCCTTAAACTTTGTAAAGTTGCGAAAAAGTCCATCTTCAGAATTCCTTGAGGTTCTTTTTGAAATTTTTGAACTCTATGAGCTCTTTTGAAATTCTTCTCAGAAGTCCTCTTGAATTATTTTTAGAACTCTTCTTGACTTTTACTCAGAAAACCTTGGAACTGAAATTCCCTTAGAGTTTCAGAAGAATCTCCTCAAAAAAATGTTCCTGAAATGAGCTAGAAATTATCGGTACTCCCTTGAATTTTTTTTAAAAATCCCTTTGGAATTTCACTCACAATTTATTATTTTTTTTTTTAATTATAGTCACTTTAACGCTCGTGGGTCATTCGTGACTTGTCCGGGGGTGAGATTAGAACTCGTGACTTTGGCGTGAGAGGTATGGATGCTAACCACTACGCCGGGGTCGCCCCCCACAATTTAATTTTCTCGGTATTCTTTTTGGAATTATCTGCAGGATTAACTAGAAATTACAGGCAGAATTTTCTTGGAATACTCTCAATAAATCCTTTGGAATTATCCTCAGAATTCAATATCTTTGAGGTTCTTCTCCTCTCCTAAGATTTCTTTTGAAATTCTTCTCAGAAGCCCACTGGAATTATATTAAGAACTCTTCATGATTTTTTCTCAGAACATATTGGAATTAAATGAGCTAAAAATTATCCTCGTAATTCACTTGAAATTTTGCTTAAAATCCCTTAGAAATTACACCCAATATTGGATTTTTTCGGTATTCTTTTCAAAATCGTCTTGGAACTATCTGCAAAATGCACTAAAAATTATCTGCAGAATTTTCTTTGAATTCTCCCAGAAATATTTGGGAAATGTCATTTCCTTGAAATTCTTCTCAGGATATTTTAGAGCTTTTTTTTCTCAGAACACCTTGGAACTGAAATTCCCCTAAAGTTCCAGAAATATTTCCTCTGCATTCTCCAGAAAGTCTTCCCAGAATGATCTTGAAAATATCCTCGGAACGCCATTGAAATTTTTCTCAACATTCCTTTGGAATTTCATTCAAAATTTGATTCTCTCGGTATTCTTTTCGACATTATCTTGGAACTATCTGCAGGTTTCACTAGAAATTATTTGCAAAATTTTCATGGAATCATCCCCAGAAATCTTTTCTTTTAGAACTGTCCTCAGAATTCAATACCCTTGAGATTCTTCTCGGAAAGCAAGTTTAAGTTGTCCGCCCATTCACCAAATCGTTGTAGTTTTTCTACCATAAATGTTCAATAAAGCTTGCCCCTCCATTCACCAGAACTGTGCAATTCTAACATTAGGCCTCTCGATACAGCAGATTGTTGCAAATCTTACACCAGAAATTTGCAATACAAACTTGCCACCAGAAAATTTCAATTGATCAGAACGATGCAAATTTACCACCGT